ACATAAAAAATAGTATTGTAAAAGACTCTTTGAAATTCTTGGAAGAACTGTAAAATATTGAAGACTGAAGAAACAATAATTTCAATGTAATATTGAAAAGTGGTCTCTTCCTTTCTTCTTTTTTGAAAAAAATATCAGTTTGTCACTATGAGAAAAAGAACTAAAAAGAAAAATTCTGGATGCATTTACACCCAGTCATAAAAATTAAGCTCTTGACCACCAGTTTTATGTTATTAATTTAACATCGAAACATTCATGCTTTTATATTTATTTTCTTCAACATAGCATATTTGTAATTAATGTATACTTGAAAACTAAAATGTGCAGTATTTTTATTTTTGTAAATATGCATTTGTAAAATTTTATTTGATTACAAAAATTTAGATTGTTATGAAATACGTAAAAATTATCGCTAACGGAATCTGATAAGAGTACGTGTCTAAGACAACACCTGCATTTCCTCGAAATCTTTAAATGAATAAACTCAATTAAATTAAGTAAATACTTCCATCTGGATGAGTAAATTAAATTAATTTACCTCAGCAAGTCGGATATTTGAGTTCTTTCTTTTCGTATTCTAAATATGTATTTACCACAAAAGCAAGTGTGAAATCGTTTTCTTTATGCTGTATGATTTCAACAAAGGTTACACCGTAAAAACCTTTTTTTATTCTAACCAATTACTTTTAGTTGACTTTCCTTTCTCTCCTGGTTTCAGTTTCCTGCCAGAATGTAAATTTTAATGACGTACTATGCAAAGTGTGTCTAAGTGTGTTTAGAAGTAGTATTTAACCTGTGTTTCAATAGTTAGTGAGGATAGTAGCGGAGTTAGTTCTGAGTTAGTCTGCGTTGTTTGAGATAGTTCTCTAGTTGCTGTTAGACACCTCTCAGCTTATACTGATATTCTAGGCTCGGCTTTGCTGTGTGCAGCCGGTTTAGCGGTCTAGATAACTAAGGAACCAGTGGTTTCGCCATCCTAATTTATTGTGATTTTACATTTTTTTAAAAATTTTCTGTTTAATTTAGTTTAACCACAAGTGGTGCTGAATTGTGAGCACCGGGTGCGTGCATCTTGTTACGTTAGTTCATATAAAAAGGTTATTTAAACGTTCTTTTGTAGTATCTGTTCTTCAAGACATAGCGATAGTTCGCTACGCTGTCTGTTACGTAGGGGCTACTGTGAATGCTCCCAAAAAGATATAGATTCTATAATATAGTAAAAAATAGTAGTACTTTCAATTCCTATTCAGAAAAATACAAAAATACCCTATTTGCAAAAAAGAAAAAAAAAAAAAAAAAAAAATACTATTTTCTTTCGGGAATTTCTAAAACGATTTTCATTCAAAACAAATGAAACAATGAATTTAATTTTTATTTGCCTGAACTCTAAAAGAGAATATAATTTTGTTTTCTTAGCATGGAGAGAAAATAGACAGACATAATTTTAACGAAATGTTTAGTCTGTTGTTAGAAAAGACACCGGTACTACTATTAAGCAAAATTTGCGGGATAAACAAATGTAAAATATGTAAAATACTTCATTTTTTTTCTAATAACGTCCATGAACTGTAAAGTTTTCAAATGGCTCGTTAATGGAATGTTTTTGAACTAAAAATAAGGAAAATGTATATGAGACCGCTTGCAGGAATTTTTTAAAATATGTATGCCGTACATTTCTTTATTTTACTATGTTATTTAATGTAACGAAAAATAAAAAGTACATGTAAGTACTTAACAGCAAGTTTAATATTAAACATTCTCGAAATTAGAACACATCATCCAAATACTTGGAACTCCGTATAATAGAAGTTTTACTGCACTGAAAGATTAGATCAGCAATAAAGATAAAAAAAAAGAAATACCAATAGCTTGAAGTTAATAAATGAGGCAAAATTAGCAACATTAAAATAAGATTAAATTCAAGGCGTCCACAAAATCTCTGAATAATTTTAACAGCTTTTTGTTTGGAAAACGGAAAAACTGATATCTTTGGTACTTGTCACATTTTCACAAGTAAGATTCAAAGATTTTTCACAAGTGACAAAAGTTACACAACTTCGACATATGTATCATTTGTTGAGCACAAAATATCGAGTCCATATTCCAGCTGAGTCCATGTACAATCAGTGCATGGCTTGATCAATGGTTGCAATGACATTGCTGATTCTGGGTTTTAGATCCGCAGTGTTTGACACTTTCGAAGAATGAACAATGTCTTTAACATTGCCCCGCAGAAGTACAAAAGATTTATGTCAGGTGAACGTGGTATCCATGGAATGGGTCTATTCCCTGTCGGTCCGTTTGCTGAGGAATAGTCTGTCGAGAAAACTGTGAACGCACAATGTCCAGTATGGTGGCGCACCATCCTGCTGAAAAGAGACCTCTGCTTGACAGGTTTGCAACTGAGCAAATGAAATTATTGAATATATCGAGGTAAAATCCGGCTGTCATTATTTGTTCATGGAAGGAAAACGGTCCTAAAATTTTGTCATGCAGCATCCCACACCAAGCATTCCTTTTTGGGCCGTCCTGCTTCAGTACGGGCTGACATGGGTGTTCTTACATGGAGCCAACAATATTAGGGTTAAGTTGTTCAGAGTACTTTCTGGACACTTTATTAAACTTATCTGATCCTATAGCAATTGTTCAGGAAAATAGCAGTTGTGGTCTACCATTCAAGAACATAAAATTTTAGAGGTTTAATATTGTGGCATTTCACCATTTATCCTTTTTATATTTGTCGAGGAAATAATGGATGTATGGATTATAATATCCATGCATTCCGATATTTAAGTTATTTAAAGCAAGGTAATTGCAGATCGTAATTATTATGAAAGTAAAATGAATAAATTCCGTATTCATTTTTCTCTAAATTATTTTAATTTGACACTGCACGTTGTTACTTTATCCATATAATCCATTTGCCTAGAAAAAGAATGGTAGCATGATATTATTGTCTGAATAATAATTATTCTGTTCAAATGATGAGGAAGAAATGGACAAGGGTCATTCTGCAACATGCACGCTATCATTCTGCAACATGCACGCTATCATTTCAGTTTTTACGTGATAGTTTGACGTATATCATTGGGTATAACCCTCATTTCGTTTTAGGTAACACCGCAGTAAAAGAACTTCCTAAATAAGAAATGAAAAATGCATATAACTCCTGATTTATCGATGTAATATCGGGAACAATGTCGACGGTTAACACAAGATCAGTTTTCATCCAAAAGCAGTTAAAATAAAAACTTACGAAAATTGATATTGTATATTGATTATAATAATCAATATAGAAATGCAGCTAACAAATTACGTTTATTTTCGAATAACTGAAAATTCCAACGATGAAAGTTTCTATAAACAGCTTAAATAACACCTAGAATTCTACGGAAATAAAAATGTAAATTTATCTAAAATGGAAATTAATAAGTATATTAATAATGATACACAAATTGCGTTAATTTTACATAACAAATTGTGTTATTATTAATGTTAATAAGTTACGTTAATAATTTTACCATTATTAACATACAAGTAAATATGTTAATAATGGTAAAATGGAAATCAGTACGTATGTTAATAGCGATATTAAAAAATGGCAAAACGTAACTAAATTCTAGTAATATATATTTTTAATCATGTAACTACATTCTGTATTCATATGGTTCTGACGGAGAATTACACCTCTTCTTGAAAATGACATCATGAAAGCTGAAATTTCCTTATATTTAATAACACGAGTTATTATTTGAAAGAAAATAAATACCGCATGAAAAAACTTTTGCAAACTTTGTAATAAAAATATCGTTTTAGGGACTTCATCTTTTTTTTAATGAAATTATATGACTGTTTAATTTTCAAACCTAAAAGTGTAGAATGTCAAACAGATAAAAAACTGAGTTCTGCTTTGTTCCAAGTAAAAGTTGTGATTCTAATTTAAATTATAATTTTTTATAAAATGTACTATTAAATGCTCACGACAGCAAGAATGGCGTTCTTTGTAGTTTTAATTAAAACGACGAGAGAGCAAACTGTTTCGCATTTGATATCCCCAAAGCAGGTTTTGTGTATGTATTTCAAGATTTCTAGCTAATATCTAGCTTGAGTTTATAGAAAACGAAATGCAGAATAAATAAGTTCAACATCCTTTGAAAATGTTTTACTTATCCAATATATTTTGAAAATATGAGTTAAAGAATAGATACGCATATGAACCCTCCGCAGAAAATAATATTAACTTCCCAGAGACAAATATTCATTTCGATTCACTGAAAATTTCGAATTGTTGAAGTTCAAGAAAATGATCAGCCATGCATAATAATTTTATCTTATGTGGAAGTGTCGACACTTTTATGTATCCTTTAGTTTTCCTCTTAAAAATAGTTTCTATAGAATTTCGATTTTTTAAGAGAATTCTTGAAGCCTTGAAATAATTTTAACACTTGCAAAAGAAAATTAGAAATTCCTGATTGCAAAATATTGTTTAATAATGAGATGGACAGGTAATGCCTTATCTAATAAAATATTAATTAATAATAAAATTCATATATATTGCTCTGGGCGGTCTAATAATTAGCGAAGGCTGACTGCCGGTCCAGGGTATTGTTCGAATCCCATGTAAGATTTTGTATGGGCCCTTCCCTTTGTAATATCGATACCTGTGGCAAGCTTGGGAAACACCTGCGATGACGACATGGTTGTGTGACTGATCAGTTAGAAATCTGCTTGAAAAGTAAGTGTCAGGCCATTTGAGAGGACAGAGAATAATAAAATTTATTTATGTAAAATATAACTAAATGGGCATAAGCATAAAATTGTTATATAAAAGTTTAGCATTAAAATACCTAAAGAAACATGCTATTTGTGTGACATTCACTGCTGAACTTTAAACTGCTTCCTTTTTTTTACATTACTTACACACAAACTTTTACAGAGCATTACTTAAATAAAATTAAATTGCATAGACTGTTTGTGCAACAATAAAAATTAAAAATATATAAATTTTATCTTCGTTTTTTTATTCTGATTTTACATCCATTTGAAAAGAAAAATGAAATAACAATGATTATTTAATATCCTCTTTTTCGATACTGAATTAAGTATAATCGGCGATATAAAGAAAATAGGAGAAAATCAACCTCCAAAAACTGCTCAATCGCACTCAGTTAGTCTCCTTAAACCTACAGTGAGTTTTGAGCCTCTTTCCTGTTTCTTCTCCGCCTCTGCTGGAAGAAAAAAAAGGAAAACTGAAATGTAAAGAATAAAAAAATAATGATCTTCAATAACAAAATTTAGAACTTATAAATCACAAAAGATCAAGAGAGTTAGAAAATAAAAGGTTTTCAATATTGCACAGTTTCGGTATTTGTCTCTGTCGAAAACTTTCAAGGAAAACTTGTCACGTTCTTGCAAGTTGTAATAACTGAATTTGACTATGATCTTCAATAAAGAGTAGAAAAATGTATGAAATAACATCATTCGCAAGACAGCGTGTTCCATGTTATATTATAAGCAAAGTTAAAATTTTTCTGTCCACTCGATGCAATGTCGCATTTTGAACAAAGAATGCTTGAGGAAGTAGCTTTGGTATCTTTGATCAAAACCAGATCCCTGCCATGTCATCATCATGGCCAGCTTTCTCATTCTTTGTTCCTTCTGTTCTCTCTTATCTACGAAGTCGACATTTACAGGTAATTCAAGTTATTCAAAACGATGCGACAGCCAGAATATGACCGATATGCAAATAAGCATTTTACCAATACTTCCAAGAATGTGAAGAGCGCCAAAGCATGTACGTGAGTGTTCCCACTGGAAGTAGGTTATATTTCTACCTTATTTCAATTTTAAGTTTAGTAATACATATCTAATTTAATTCTTTCGCTTGATTTGACACTGGAAATTCTAACCTGCATTGGGAAGGACTTCAAATTTTTCAGATCAATTGTTATAATTAAATCCTTTATAATAGTTCACCAGCTAATTTTGGATACAGAAACTCAGTGTTTTCCTAGAGGAAGGGGATAATAATTGAGTCTGATGAATCTTCATTTTAATAACGTTATATCAAATTTGATTGAATTCTTCTTATGTTTTATTTTTTTCTGCTTTTGGTATATTTTATTAGGTTTTTTTAAAATTTTAGGTTTTAGTTTCACATTTCTGTAATTATTATTTTGCATATTTATAGGATCATTTGAAATTTATTTGTACTGAATTTCACTTCATTTTGGTCTTTGTGTAAAATTGGTTCTAAATTTCTTACTTTTTGTCTATACAGATAAGTTTTAAGCATCATATTCAGGGGAAATACTTGGAATAATTTATTTTTTAAAATAAACTAAAAAGTTTGTGATATATATATATATATATCGCAAGCATTATATATACATATATATATCTATATCACAAACATTTATATATATATAAATGGATAATAATAATTTATTTGAAAGAAATATTGATTATATTATCTCCTAATTTAAATTTAGTAGAATGTATCAAAGTGATTTAACCCAGAAGTACGAGTTTGAATTCCAAAAATTTTTTTTCAAAAGGAACTTGAATGCAAATCATGAAAAATATTTTTTTAAGGGGACTTAAAAAAATATTTAAATCATGAAAAAGATTTTGAAATGCATTTAAATTTAAATCATGAATAACAAAAATTCAAACTTTGAAAAAGAAAATTAATAAAAAAGTAATTATCGTCATTGTTCGGAAATTAGTTGACTTTTCAAGAGGAAAAAACCAACTCCCGTTCAATGAACAATAATTAATAAATGCGAAGGTGTTTCGTCTTTTACTCAAGTAAGAATGAAGATGCCAAACTGAAAAATTTAATAAGACCAAAATTGTAATTCCGTTAAGTGATTGTATTTTTAGAAAATTTAAGACATTAAAGCCAAATAAGAGTACCAAAGAACTCATTCTGAATATAGCATTTTCACTAAGACAATAGATTCTTTACATAAGAAACACAAGAAACGTAATAAACTATGCTATCTTTGCAAAACAAATGAAATAAAAGTTGAAAAATTGAAATATATGTAATAAGATGTAATGAAACGTAAAATGTGAAATGTACATGAAACTACGAAAGGCCATAATATGAATTAATTAACTTACGTTCTTTCTAGTGGGATGTCGGTAAAGTAACTCGTCTGTCCGAGAAGCTATTTTTGGTACGTGGGAGGGACATGGTATGTGTGAGGGAGGTTTGAATTTGTTTTCACTGACGTCGACAGAAAAACTGATCTGACATAATCATGCTTCTGTACTAGACTTCAAAACCAAAATTCAGTGCTTCGTAGTTTTATCAAAGTTCTGAAACAAAATAAACGTTTTCATAATTATTTTCCTGGTCTGTGATGAAACATGTTATTCAAAGGTCTAAAAGGAAAAATTAACTATTAATGAAAAATAATTCTTCAAGTAAAAGAATTAGAGAAACTAAAATGTGAATTTAAAAATTTGCTGTGATAAATGTTACACTGATGATATCGATTCAGGAGACAAAGATAGGCACATGAAGGACAAAACAAAGGAAATAGCATTTCTTCCGTCTTAAATAATAGGGAAAACAATATTCGCATCCTTGGATATTTGGACACGAAAGCCTGCACATATTTTTGCTTTAAATAACACTATAAGATAATATAGTGCAAAACATATCTTATAAGCTTTTAAATAAATTTAGATAAATGTGTATTGTATGAAGACTGACCTTCAACATTTGATAAATCAGTGTTTTTTAAATATTAACTGAAAAGCCATTTTGCCCCGTATGTAAGTTTACCGTTTTTTTATGACTTTTAAAAGCTATGTGAGTCAAAATTAATTGCATTATTTTTATTATGCTTGAAATAAAAACGAGCTGCATGATTAAAAAACAAAAATACACGCCTTATTTAATTTTTTCGAAAAAAAGCGTATTTTATATTTTTAATAAAAATTAAAAGATTTTCGTTTTTTAATTGTATATTTTCAATCAGATAAAATCCTTCTGTTGAATTACAGAAAACAGATATTTGGTCTCTGAAATAAAGTAACCTAACTATCTGGATAGGCCGTGGTCATACGTCATCGTCGTTAGTCTGGACATTTGTATCTCTGCTCAACAATTTACATTCCCACGTAGTAGTCATTTGCATATATGCGCATATACACTACAACAATAGATGCACACTCGTTATGCTAATTTCGTTAATTGGCGTACAAAATCGGGTGGGAAAGGAAACAAAACGTCGTTACACCATGGAGGTAGGAAGTAAGAAGAAGAGGCCCTAACCAGTTTTCCCCATACACTGCCTTGAAGCACTGGCGATCCCTTCGTGGTGACCAAAACAGTGTCTTACTGTTAAGATCAATGGGTTTTGACACGATCGGGTGTAAATATTTTGTAATTACGTCGTAATATACGTATAAATGTATATATTTTCTTTTTCTACAATATTTCAGAGTTCAAAATATATGAGAAGAATACATTTTTAAGCAACATTTCATTCTGAACGGAATTAAATGTTATATTTTTCACAGAACGGTTTAATTGAATGAAATATTTTCACATGTTTTCATTAATTACAATAGGAAAAACATTTAGGGTAATTCGATTTTATTCGGTTAAAGATTACAAAAATTTAGATCGAAGTTTATTGTATTATTAATATTATAATTATGCATTATTTCTTTTCTATTTACAGAGCTTCTTCTTAAAATACTTTCTCAAATATGGCATGATTTTTTAGCTTCTGGGGCATCTTTTAAATCGAAAAATCTAAGTCAATTTAGAATTAATGCTCTATTCGATCCATTTCAAATTAGCGCGTAAAACTTGTAACTAGGTAATTATAAAATGTAAGCAAATAATTCTTTTAATTATACTTATCAGATTTTTTTTTTACCCTTAATTTCAACAATACATATTCTAAAACTCTTCTTTATTACTTCCTTAAGTACGCATCTCACAGAATTTGCTTTACAGTACCTTTTAACAGATTGCTTTCCAGTACGAACAATTCTTGCTTAAATAGTTTTATAACGTATTTGACAACAGGATGTCAATTTACGTTTACAATTCAATGTTAAGGTTATTATATATTTAGATAATATTTATAATCATTATAAATTAAATACATTTAATAATTAATTTCTTCACAGTAACTTTCACAGGAGTTTATGAATTAATAAATCCTTTATTTCAGATATATTTATAAATAATTTAATAAATATTTACGTATTTTGTTAAAGGCAGATACATGCTTTTTGCAAGCATCTGCATAAATACCCATACATATTTCATAGTTCTTATTTCCCCCATGTGCAAATCTTTAATTTCTGTGCTTAAAACACGTTTTAGGATACATTTATTATCAAGTTCAATTTTTCTCGTAAATATATTTTGGCAGAGCACCTCAATACCTCTTTTAGCGATTTTACCCAGTTTAGTAATTCTCTGATAATATAATAAATAATAGCTATACATTTGAATTTGACAAACATTCTCTATTCGTAAAAAGCAGTAAATTTAAATTTAAATTAAGTTAGTAAATTTAAATGAAATTTTATGAAAACAAATATTTAAACAGATAATTTAAAAAAAACTAAGTGTAAAAATTATAATTCATAAACTAAAGAAAACTAAACTATGAAAGAAAACAAACTAGGTAATTAGCGCTAAAAGCTGCTAAGTACAAACAAAATTTCTTCAAAAGAATAAAGTAAAGTTAAATTTAATTTTAAATAATTCTCTTGCGCCATTGCTGCAAGGAATGAAATTTGAATTTAACAAACATTCTCTATTCGTAAAAAGCGAATTAAAGTTAATAAATTTAAATGAAATTTAATGCAAACGAATATTTAAACAGATAATTTAAAAAAACTAAGTGTAAAAATTATGATTCATAAACTAAAGAAAATGGTTTTCTTGAAAAAATTGACTGTTTCACTCACGCGTGTATTGAGTCCTACAAAATTTTCGTAAATATTATGGGATCCTGAGATTGCGAAAAAAATCTCTGGTATAAAAAGGGTGAAAAAACACTTTAAGAAGCCCTGGGTACTGGCCAAGGGTACTAAACCAAGGGTACTGGCTTTTATCTGTAGCTTATTACAATAATCACTTGATTTACGTAAGCTCGCAGTTACATAAGTGCACAAAAATTGTAATTTTCAAAGAAAAAACTATAAATTACATTTAAATACTCCGTTAATAATGTTTCATCTTTCTTGCATTGAAACGATTATTCGTGCAGTTAGTTTAGTCACTTTTTAACTGTTAGTGTTCGTTATTTATTTACCTTTAAAAATGGATTCAAAACGCAAAAGAAATTTACAGTAAAAGACATTTGATTTCATTAACATTTTAATGCATTGAAAAAAGTTCACGATCGCAGATCTATTCTAGAATGTATGTGATAGATAGACTACTCACTACAACATCAGTGTGATAACTGAGGCGATCTCGATTTCAATCAACCTTCAATATCGAAAGCGACAAGAAGCTGCCAGAGAACAATATACTATTTCTTCACAGTCATCCCCCTCCAGCGTCAAAACTTCTCCTGAGAAGTTTAATTCGCTGTTACAAGACATTATTTTCATTTGAAAAATGTCACTTCAGTTTGTTTTTATATTATTATATATAGCTTTTTCATTCTTTTACAGTTTATATCCGAAGAAATACTTATGCATGATGTGTCATTTATTAATTTTTTCCCTGATGGCGAGCCCAAGGCGTCCATAGACGTTGGTCACTACTAAGGTCGAAAGTAGTGGTCACTTTATTATGGAGGCACCTAGTGGGTGGGCTACCATTGCCACCTACTGTCTGGGCGGCTTTCTCGTCTGGGAGGCTCTTCGTGATTCGAACCAGAGTCACTAACCACTTCCCAGTCGTTTAGCGTTACTAGCCACTTTCCCGTCTGGGCGGCTCATACAATAAATAACACTGCCTAAATAATATATTCAGTAAACCCCCTTAACAGAAGTCGCTTAAAGCGAGCACTCCGCTAACATGAACAAAATTTCGATCCCGGCAGCGATGTATATGATCTTATAGGAAGTTTCATTGGTTAACGCAAATTTCGTTTAGCGCGAATTGCGAAGTGTTTTTTAATCCGTTACGTTGTTAGATTTATCATTTAATACGAAATTTCGAAGTTTACTGTAATTTCTCTACTAGGATAGCATGCAAAAATTTACAGTCCCGTTTAATTGAAAACTTCACCGAATACTCTGTACTCTTTAAAATATAGCCTAGCATGAATAACATTACTCGACAGTCGTGATCATTGCGTCAGCGATGAGTTTTGTAGAGTTTTATTAGTGCCGTCTAGTGTTTATTAGTTTTACATTGCCGTCTGTGCTGTAGTGGAATCTTATGTACAAGCAGTTATGTTCGCGGCGCCTCGCCAGGTGCACACCCGCTAGGAAATTTTACACCCCTTGGACACTGCAGAACGTTTTGCTGCAACATCCGAACTGACCGCTAAGATTACGTAAGTCATGAGTTCCACTGGGTGTAGAGCTGATCTGCTTCATATGTTCAAATTGCAGTACAGTAAGTATTTCAGTGCTCTGGTGTTTCTATGGTGACATATATAGTATATTGTAGTAGTTATGTAACTATACTGCAGCTGGATAATGTGTAGAAAAATTATTTCCAAAATAATATTGAATCCCCAGTTAAGGCGAATTTTTATAACACTAACTTTCGATATTTCGGTCCCTTGAGATTCGTGTTAATGAGGGTTTACTGTTTTATATATACATACATTTATATGTTATTTTGTATGGTATTTTCGTTGTTGCACGTATGATAATAAAAGTAAACTGATGTGACAATAGGGAAACACGACAGTATTTAAATGAAGCTGAATTTTTAGTAAAGTCATTGTCGCAGTTTTTATAGGAATTTCGTTTAATATACTTTACTACTAAATAATTTAATTTGATTTCTCAAAATTGTTGCATTAATCGAAAAATAGAAATGTCGTAAACAAAGCTCTAAAACTTTTCTATATAAACTTTATTTCCTGCGTATAATTTGCAGCTATCATTAACAGTAGCAATCATTCTTGGAAAAGAAAATACTCAGCTATCAGCTTTCATTTTTCGTTCTCCAACTATTACATAAATGTAATTGGTAGCGAAATATAAATTACTTTAATCTTTATTGTTTGCTTTCTTGACCTGTCTGGGAACTACGCGCTCACTGAAAAACCTATCATAATTAGAGTAACGTATATCATACGAGGAAAAATAAAATGTCATTGCTGACGTCATAGTGGTCTTAGTTTCATACAATGTCCTTTTTACGGATCCCT